GCCCTCCCGATGCCCACCCCAGATGCAGAGACAGTGGCTCAAGCAGTCGGTAGCTTTGTTGCTTGGACTGGCCATCTTCTTACATTATCACATCCTTTAAAGGTATATATGTATAGGTTGAAACCTTCAGTTGATCTAAAATAAACTTTGTTTTAATTACTAACAGTTTGTTTTGTCAATCTAAGGGGAAGAAGAGCCTATTGGGCGATCACTCATTATCATCGCCACAGAAGCAGCCCTCGAGCCCGTTCAAGTGGTATCATTAAGATTTCAAATATGTCTTGAGGAATATGCAGTTGGAGCCAGACTAGAACATGACGAGAATTTCATGATTCCCCTAAAGTTTGAGCCAGAGGTCTATGGTCAACCCTCGTCAAAGTACGCACAAATGACGTATTGAAAGAAATTCTGACGTATGGAATGGCCAACACAAATGCCTGTAACTTTTATATTAGGTATTTGTTAAAATCTTTATTAAATACTTAAGTACTTGAGCATTTATTCTATTGATATCTTTGTTTGTTGATTTAGGTATCTTTTCAAGAACTTTATAATCTCTAATGGCCTTGATGACAAGTTCAAGATTATCAGCCCCTACACTGTTGTTGGCCACAAACCTGATATAAAGAAGAAAAACTTATCTAGAGAGTTGGTGGATATCTTCATTTATAAGGCAACAAAAACTAGGGAGACTTTGTTTTTGGCACCTTACTATCAAAGGTGCGTAGTATACTAAACTTTCTAAATTCTTTTATATATTTTCAAATATTTTGTAATTGTTCTAATTGTCTTTCTTATACATAGGGGACACTGAATGCTGATTGGGGTCAATCTCACAAAACCAAAGATTTGGCATATCGATTCTTTTCATGGGGATCTAACCAATCGACTATTTATGGTTTCATTATTCAATAAGTAACATTTATATCTATTATTTAAATTTAATTTAATTTCTTGCTTCAATCTAATTTTTGACAATCATTAATATTCAATTTTATTATCTTCTCAGGGTTTTGTGGCTATACTACACAAATCAAGCCTTACCCTGCCCCCCAATAAAAAACAGACAATTTGGCGATACCTTCTCGTGGAAGAAAGTGAAGGTACTCAATACCATTATTTACTATTATACTAAATATGGTTTATTTATATGATTGACTAATATTATTTCCTTTTCCATTATTTACGATGCCCACGTCAAAAAAAGCTTCGATTGTGGGCATTGCATGATGAAATTCATGAAGGAGATAATTATGCACAATGCTGACACAATCCCTACACAAGTAATATGCATTTGTTAAAGTTCAATTTATATATTTAAGAATTGTACTTACTATAGCTTTACATTTATATCTAATTTCAATATAATTTGTGGTTGCATATAGTACTTTGCTGACACATATTACACAGTGTATTCATCCGCTCAGATAGAAGAAATCATTGAAGAGTTGGCAATAGCCTTATACCGTCAATGGGTACAAAATAGATAGGGAAGTAGAAGACATGTACAATTTTGGTTTCAATTTTGATTTTGGTTCATTTTTTGCTATTGATTTTTGGCATTGAATAGCTTTGGTAATTGGCTAATTTTGGTTTTGGTTCACCTTTTGTTTTTGCCTTTTGTACTTGTCTAGAATTTTTACTTGCCTTAAACACAGGTTCTTTTAGTATGACAATTAGTTTCCTATTAATTAAGATGTATATAATGTAAATTTCTACCTCATACGCGTGGTTACATTCATATGGCTGAATTATTAGTTTGAAAGCTGGCCTGGTTCTACTGAATAATGCTGCTTTATATGAGGTTTCATAATTGCAAGGGGACTGCTGGCAAAGCAGAACCCATATTAAAAAAAAAAACTTCTATAATACTTGAGGGTTATTACGTAAAACCATCAAGTATTGTAATGATACTTGACAATTATAATAGTAACTGTCAAGTATTATACTAATACTTGACGGTTTTAATAGTAACCGTCAAGTATTGTTTATAATTATTGGACAATACTTGCCAGTTTTAAGTATTGTCAAGTATTGTTCTAGAATACTTGACGGTTTCTAAGAAAAAATGTCATGTGTTGTTCCTCAATAATTGACGGTTTTACTAGTAATCATCAAGTATTGAGGAACAATACTTAACGATTTAATTATTCAAGTAATACTTGATGGTTCTTCATTTAAAACCATCAAATATTATGAAAATATTTCATGGTTAATAACCATCAAATATCTATCATCGAAATATATGATGCAGGTATACTTAACGGTTTTTAACTGTCAAATATGACCCAAAATAACCATCAAGTATTTCTCATTCTGTAGTAGTGCAACTTATGTGTTGACTTTAGCATATTGATAATTTATTATGGATCTAATCTTTGAGTATTGATATAAGAGGGGTGGTGGATGTTAATGATAGGAATTATACCAATGAGGATGGATATAAGGCGTTGTATCATTTGATAATATAAGATGGTGGGGCCACCAGATGTATATTGATTGATCCTTTGGCCCAATTACTCATTATAAGGCATGAACGCCACACTAGTGGACTAAAGGGAGAAACCATGGTTCAATCTTATACTCTATGAATTTGGGTTAGTCCATATCATTTGATTGGTGAGCTTGTTCAAGTATCAGCCACATGGATGAAAATTTAGCCTATGGATTTAGTCCAAGGATATAAGGCAGGTGGATATAAAGAAAATGAGAGTATTATCTATTGTACATTGTTAAATGCTTTTACAATATGGAAGTTGTTTAAATGCTGTGAATTTGTAACTATCTATTCTTGACACCTCATAGGCACTTACTTGTATGCATGATAATAAGATTGTTAGTTATTGAACCGTTTGTCTCACCCTATTGATTTAACACTTTTTCATGTGTTAGTTCTCGTGCAAATCCATTAGGGGAGGCTTTAGAGGCTTAAATAGTGTTATAACTATTGCATAGTTTTCTCTTTTTAATTATGTGTTGAATGTTTGCATACTGCCATACCATGGCTCATTTTGCATACTCTGATGTGATATAGTACCTCTAATCAAACTTGATTTTAGGACTGTGTGCTGGTAGTTAGTCGAAGGCCATTAGGACTACACAGTATTTGTGGATCCACATTTTGAATTAGTATCTTCGAAATGTTGAATACCTTGATATCAATTCAAAGATTGAATATTATTCAAAAAAGATTTAGTTGGGTTTATCAGTCAATTGATATTCTGAATTTCCAGAAGCTCAATACCCATTTGCTATGTTTTAATGTTAAACATTGGTTGATTTCTACAATCATGTTAGATAGATTGTGTTCTATCTATCATGATTTGTTATGCAATCGATTTAGAATAGTTTTATTATTCGTGATAGCCTTTTACTATTAGTTTCTTTCCTTTCCATCATAAATAAGTTAATAAAGAAGGAGTTTATCTTTTAGCTATGATAGGCAATTTGAAGTTAAATTTATTCTTTTATATCATAATTGATTTTTCTTTTGATTCAAGTTTCTTTTATAACTAGTGTAGTATTTTCAAATGTTTCACGAAATTTCTTTCCCACCATGGTTACGTTTCAAGTATTGATTTAGTTCAAAGGTTTAGATGTTCTATTGTAACAGATTAAGTCTCATCAAGTTATAATTAAAAAAACTAAGTGAGTTAAAAGTTGAAAGACCATAAGATGAATTTTTGTTAAAATTTTATATAATTTTAATATTAATATATATAGTTTCATATATGGTAGTTTTTAATATTCAATATATATTTTCCCCATTTTCCAATCAAGTTCGTTCCGATTTTCAGTCATTTTTAACCATCAAAGATCCAAGGGAAGGAATTCACATTCATCGTATTGATGGAGGGTCGAATATGTAACCCTATGCTTAAGTAAGATTTAAAAAAGACGTCAAGTATTAATTGAGTCATATGAGTCTGACTTCTTCACCCTCAGTCATTGCTAAATGAAGATTAGGCCGTTGAAAAATGATCGATGGTAGGGTGTTGAGCCATATTCAATTTTTGTATAACTCAGAGTCTTTCATTTGAGACTAATTTCTGTTAGGTTAGGAACATTAAAGTTAAAACCCTACTAATAAGTTTTCTGAAATTCAAATTTGTATTCTTTTTTTACAGAAATGAGACTATTTACCATCTCAACTAATAACTTGTTGGTTGAGTCATATTCATTTATTGCACGGTACACTTTGGTCCTAGATTATGTGTATAGCATACTTTGTCTCTTTGTAATACATACACGCGCGCAAACACACACATTAATTTCTTTTCAAATCTTCCTATAATAACTTAAATAATTGTAAGGAATTTTTATGAATATTGAGAATTCAACTAAAAATGTAATCTCAGGTTGAAAAAACTAAAAAAATGTAATGATCTTGTTCGTCCATCTTCCACACACCATGCTTCCAATTCTTTACAAGAAAATTACAAGATAATAAAGTAAAACAAACATTTTGGAGGATCCGCGGAGGATCGACATTAATTTCTTTTCAGGCCTATTTGGGCAAGCGATTGTAAGTGTCCGTGAGGCTGAGAACATGTTTAATTGAAACACGTTTTGGAAAAAATAAAATAGTAATGAATTTGATTTTGCAATTGGTGCTTTTGACAGAAAAATTACTAGGAATCTTTTAAACTGTTAAGGCGAAACCAAAAATAAAAGTGCCATTCTTGCCACACACAAGAAAAAATGTCTCATGATATAAAATTGTTACCATAAACATTATATAATATGTGCGCGTGTAGTTTGGTTTAGCCTTAAATTCGTTCTAAATGTTTAGAACATTTGACACTGATTTTTCCTTTTTAATGAGTTGATTTATTGATTACAGATACTGCGTTGAATTCAACCATTCAATACGTAATAAATGGATGCTTTTCCTATATTTGACACTAAAAGGGAATTTATTAAATAGCAAAGGTACTTAAAAAAATATTTTAAAGTGAGTTGAGACAGAATCGTTACCTTGTATACTGTCAGATTACTTCTAATAACCTAATTCAAATATAGTTTAAATATAATAGCAAAATAGTTTCATCGTTATTCAATTGCAATTACATAAATCTCCAAACAGTAATAACCTGAGGTTAAGCAATTTCACAATACCTAGACAGAGAGTCACATCACAACAAGCAGAGACCAAAATCCTCTCTAGGAAGTTGCCACGTATGCACTAAATCCCACTTTCTCAAAACTCCTAATTGTTCTTGAAGCAGCGATCGCATCAAGATGTCAAATAAAGGGGCTTTTCATTAATTAATAAGCGACGCCCATGGTGACATAAAGCATTAGAACGATCAGCATCAGGATAGAACTCGTACCGTAATGGGCTGATCCAGAAGGTGAAGAGGGCGCATCAGCTACGCCTTTTTTGGGAGCAGCGGTGGTAATCGTGGTTGTGGAATTTTCGGTGGCTGTAGGAAGAACGTCCACGTGGAGCTTCAGCCCGTTCTTGCAGTTCTCGACGTCGGTGCTTGCGAAGTACTTGATTCCTTCCTTTTCGAGCGGGATTGTGTGTAAACCGTCCGTGTACATCTTGATAGGGTTTGTGAAAATGCACGACTCATATTCTTCCTTGCTTTGCAGCTCAGCTACTAATCCCTGCGCCACAGAGTAGGTAAACCCTGCCCATTTTGCAAGCACCCACAGCCGCACGAAATCCTCGTGTTAACATTTTTCAATAAAATATTCAACATGAAAACATCATCAACCATCAACAGTCAATACCCGTTAAATCTTAAAATACCAGTAATCAGAATCCGAACAGCATGTCCAAATACTCGCAATTAGAATCCGAACACTATTATGTAGGAACATAATAGAGAACAATAAAGTTTCAACCAGCAAGACTCAAGCCTGGAGACTTTGCCATTAATGAATCACCTTTCCCAGAACGGAAGAGAAGGCAGAAAACAGAGAAATACGTTTAAACATATTTAGAGTATTTAGATTTGGGTTGTAAATGGTTAGCCCCAAAAAAAAAGGATTTAGATTGTAAATGTCTTAAGTTTTACTAAATACTTCACCGATTCTTAATATAATACCTAATTAATTAATTTAAATAGATTAAGAATATTAATTAAATTAGTTAATATAATATGTTTTTACCTTTCTTAATTTTCTTCCTCTTTCTCCTATTTAATTATTATTGAGAGAATGTTAACAGGATTAATTTGAGAAAAAATTAATAAAAATATGAAATAAATATTACATATAAGACTAACATCAACTCTTTAATTTGGTCATAAATTAAGAATCAGAATAGTATATCATAAGAACTTATAATTAAAAAGTTGATACTAACTTTAAAGAAAGCTAATTTGCTAATTATTTACAGCTATGTTGGCAATAAAACGATAAAGAAAGGTATACCTATCAGGCAATTAATAAATTCTCTAAGCTTCACATATTTTCTCCCGGAGAAAATACCGAGGCAGCATCTTAGCGGTATCTTGCGTGATTAAAGTTTGATATGGAACCTGAATTTGATCCCAAAAGAAAAAAGTACTAGTTGAAGTAAAATAATATATTCCAATTCTGATCCTCTAAAATTTGAAAATGGTTGCTGCGGGTTAATTATCACGTTGAAACAAGCATCCACGGATTACATCATTACACTCGTCAATCTTTTTAGTGCATACAAGCAAATAACGAATAAGGATAAAGCCAGTTTTCCTGTACAGCCAAACACAAATTGGAAAGTGGCGATAAGTCAAAAATCAAAAAATTACAAAATGGAAAAGTGGCGATTCGGAATTGGATAGAGACTCCTCAAACCAATGGAACATCAGAGAAATGAAGTGCCAAATTCTTGTTTTCTGAAGATTATTAACAAGAATTGAACGGTAAAACCATCGTGTGAATCCACACCGTTCACGTCCCCAGGCCAAAAATTGGTAAAAGAGGATGACGTTTCTTAATTACTCCGTTGAAGACTACCAAAAGATTACGTGGTGAATCGAAAAGAAAAATCTCTATAACAAATGACAGAAGAAAAGGATAGATGAATAGATAGAGTAGATTTGCTAAATTCTCACTTTAATTCGTTGATAAGGAAAAAACATGTGCCAACACCTGAAAACCACTAGCGGTCGAATTGAAAAATCTCCTTATGACAGGAGAAATCAAGAGAAACGATGAACAAATAACTCGAGTAGATTTACGAAATTCTCACTTTACTTTGTTGATAACAAAAAATATATATGTAGCACTGAAGCCCGAAAATCAGTATGGTTGAATTGAAGAATCTCCTTATAACAAATGACACAGAAGAAAAAGAGTCCACGAATATACAACTAGAGTATATTTACGAAATCTTCAATTTGTTGATTAAAAAGAAATGAAGCACTCACAGATTTCATCGCCGACTCTGAATGTTTTGCCGGAAGACCAGGAGGCGATGTCGGAAGCCGGATCCCAGCCACGGTCACCTCCAACGACATGGCGAACCAGAGCTCCGACGGGTTTGCCACCGAGGCTCACCGTCGCCGAGATAATAGCCAGAACAACGATGATGATGCCTTGTAGCTTAGCCATTTTCACCTTCTCGATCTCGCAAAGCCTCAAAAGCGAAACGAAGGGTCTCTCTCCCTCTCTCTCTGTGCTTCCGTAGTGTGTCTGTGTGTGTGAGTCAGGAGAGTGGAGTGCGAGGGAAGAAAACAAGGCCTTTGTATTTGGTACCGTGTGGCATATTCGTCATTCGCAAATCTTACAGATATGAACTGACCAGTAGGTTACTGTGGCTCCCTCCTTCACGCGCCACTCGTTTCGTTTTCACTGCACTCTTCTTTCCTGGATTATCAATTTTACCGTAATACCCTTAAGACCGCGTTTGGTGCATGGTAATATATAATCTAGAGGGGAAAATGAGAAATGGAATGGAATTACAAGTTTTGAAATTTATCTCCCATGCTTTTCCAATTCTAGTTTAGTTTTTTACTTAAACACCCTCTTAAATGATAATCAAATACTCTTACGGTCCTTAATATAATACTTATTTAATTAATTTGATTAGATTAAGGAAGTTAGGTAAGTTAGTTAATTATAAGAAAAGTAACACATTTTTCCTAAAACATTATAATCATCTTTCTTAATAACACATCTCCCTCTTCTACTTGATTATGGTTGAGAGAGTATCCATAAAGGCAATTTAAAGAAAATTAATAAATATAAGAAATGGGTCTTATATTTAGGACCAAAATCAACTCAAGAATTGAGTCTTATATTAAGGACCGGAGGAGTACATAGTAGTATTAAGGGAGTGTTTGGATAGAAACTAAAATACTTTTAAAAGTAATACGAATTAAATATATAAAAAGAGTTTTGTCCCTATTATTAGCATAAAAATACCTGTTAAAAGTACTTTTTGTTTCACCTGTAGAGATATGATATGATTTGATATGTAAATATTATGTAATTATGATTAGGATTTGATAGGATATGATATTATCATAATGAGCCATTAATGCAGAAGCTCCTCTCACTTGTATATATATGTGTATATTCTGATCAATGAAATACAAGAGAATTATTCTCCATATTATTCTATTCCCTACATGGTATCAGAGCGTGGGAATTTTCTTTCTGGGTGTTAATTTTCGGTTGCTACAGTACCAAAATTACTGTGTGAGCTCGTGACCCTCTTCCCGACGCTTCCCTTGGTGCCACCGCCCTGCACTGTTCACTCGGCGTCCGTACAGTCCGTACGCTCTGCGGCTTTTCCGGCGCTCTGCACTGTTCACTCGGCGTCCGTACAGTGTCCGTACGATCCGTACGGTTATTACTTTCTGGCGTTCTGTTTCGTTTCTGGCGTATCTCCGACACACTGTTTGTGCAATTCAGTTCTGTTTGCAGCTCCCTGTGTAGCTGTTGGCCTTTTCACTGCTTTGGTATTCATTAGGTAATCCAGGTATCGTGCTTTGTGTTCCTGTGTAACACTCTTTCGCATTCCCTTTGGTTAGTGCACTTCATCTATGGCGGAAATTAAATCTGTCTCGGAGCTTGTCCCAACTATTACTAAAATTACTGATCACAAGTTGACTTGGGTAAATTATTTGGATTGGAGTAAAACCATTCGCCTCTATCTGCGGAGCATTGAGAAGGAAGACCATCTGACTGATGATCCTCCAACAACTGATTCCAAAAAGACCTGGTTGCGGGATGATGCACGGCTATTTTTCCAGATCCGTAATTCCATTGACAGTGAGATTATTCCCTCTATTAATCACTGTGAATTGGTTAAGGAACTAATGGATTATTTAGATTTTTTGTATTCAGGAAAAGGAAATATCTCTCGTGTTTACGAGGTCTGCAAAGCTTTCTATCGTTCTGAAAAACAGGATCGTCCTCTCAAAGCCTACTTTATGGACTTTAAAAGGATGTATGAAGAACTGAATGTGTTAATGCCTCTTACTGCTGATTTGAAGGTTCAGCATAAGCAACGGGAGCAAATGGCTATTATGAGCTTTCTTACTGGTCTCCCACCTGAGTACGACACAGTTCGGTCTCAAATCTTATCCGGATCTGAAATTTCTGACCTTCAAGATGTGTTTTCCAGAGTAATGAGAGCTGAGAATCTCTTGCCACCAGCTGCTAGTATTCCTACAAGTGCCTTGCTCAGTAAGGGCACCTATGAGACTCGTAGTCCCATTGATAACCGCGGGGGGCCTACCCGTGGTGGTTCGAAGCAAGGGGGAGCCCCTTCTGACTCCAGTGGGGTAGTGTGTTATTACTGCAAAGAACCGGGGCATACAAAACGCACATGTCGAAAACTTCAGAATAAACAGCAACGGAATAACTCTGCCCACGTGGCTACACAAGCCAGTGCCCACATGGCTACACAAGCCAGTGACACAGTCACGATTTCTGCTGCTGAGTATGCCCAGTTAAAATCTACTACACCGTCTGTGAGTGCCGCAGCTACAACAGGTAATAATGCTACTGCCCTTGCTTCTTCTTCCTCAAAGTGGATCATAGATTCCGGGGCTACTGATCATATGACAGGTAACAGCCATCTCTTCTCCTCTTATAATGCTTTTGCCAATCCGTCAAGTGTTTCCATCGCTGATGGTTCCCAGTCTCAAGTTCTCGGTTTTGGCACTGTTAATCCCACACCCTCTATCCGTTTGTCATCTGTGCTAAATGTTCCTAAACTTGCTTTTAATCTCCTATCTCCCAGTAAACTCACCCGTCAACTAAACTGTTGGGTCTCACTTTTTCCTTCTCATTGCTTGATACAGGATCTTTTGACGAGGCGGATTATTGGTAGAGGTTATGAATCTGGCGGGCACTATATACTGGATGATCGGGTGTCTCATGCGGTAGCTTGCGCTAGCAGTCATTCTCCCTTTGAAGTTCATTGTCGATTGGGTCATTTGTCTCTATCTTCTCTTAAGAAAGTTTATCCTCAATTTCAGCATTTGTCGTCTTTAGATTGTGAGTCATGTCAGTTTGCCAAGCATCATCGTCTTCCTTTAGTGTCTCGTGTCAATAAACGGGTTTCATCCCCTTTTGAGTTAGTCCATTCTGATGTTTGGGGTCCTTGTCCTGTAGAGTCCAAAGCAGGGTTTAAATACTTTGTTACATTTGTTGATGATTATTCCCGGACAACTTGGTTATATTTAATGAAACATCGTTCTGAATTGTTTTCCCATTTTTGTGCCTTTTGTGCTGAGATTAAAACTCAATTTAATGTTTCTATTCGCACCTTACGAAGTGATAATGCTAAAGAATATCTCTCTGCTTCGTTCCAATCTTACATGCTTCAAAATGGTATACTTCATCAGTCGTCTTGTGTCGATACACCAGCTCAAAATGGTGTTGCAAAAGAAAAAATCGCCACCTACTTGAGGTGGCCCGTGCACTTTTGTTTCAAATGCAGGTTCCTAAACCATTTTGGGCTGACGCGGTCTCCACTGCCTGCTTCCTTATTAATCGAATGCCTTCCTCTGTTCTTGATGGTAACTCTCCTTTTTCTACCCTCTTTCCTTCTAAGCCTTTGTTCCCTATTGTCCTAAGATATTTGGGTGTGTCTGTTTTGTGCGGGATGTACGTCCATCTATTTCAAAGTTAGACCCCAAGTCGCTTAAATGTGTCTTCCTTGGATACTCTCGGGTCCAAAAAGGTTATCGTTGCTTCTCACCTACTCTCAATCGTTATTTAGTATCTGCAGATGTCACCTTTCAGGAGTCCACACCATATTTCTCGCATTCTTCCCCACCTGCTCCACCTGCGGAGGAGGATGACCTTCTAATATACTCTGTCACCTCACCATCACTGTCGTCGCAAGCACCCGCTCCCGCACTCGTTCAACCATTTGATCGTGTGTATCCACGACGGTCAAAGGAGATTACTACCGCCACGCCAGCTTCTATTCCTCCCTGGTCCGCCTCGCCCTCAGATCCTGAGTTGAGCAACACTGAACCTCGTTCTGACCCTAATCCTGAGACACCTCCTGTTCCAGACCCGGATGCCTCTCTTGATCTACCCATTGCCCTTCGCAAAGGTAAACGTACTTGTGCCCATCCTATTTCGTCCTTTGTTTCATATGACCGCTTGTCTCCTGTGTCCAGTTCCTTTGTTGCCTCCCTAGATACTATCTCTGTGCCTAGAACTATTCGTGAAGCCTTGGCCCACTCAGGTTGGCGTGCTGCAATGGAAGAGGAGATGGCGGCCCTTGATCGGGCTGGTACATGGACCCTGGTCGATTTACCGGCGGGTAAAAAGGCCATTGGATGTAAATGGGTGTTCACTCCGAAAACTAAGGCTGACGGCACACTTGACCGCCTTAAGGCTCGCCTTGTAGCTAAAGGTTATGCACAAACCTATGGCATTGACTATTCCGAAACCTTTTCTCTTGTTGCTAAGCTCTCATCTGTCTGTCTGTTCATCTCTCTAGCTGCTACTTATGATTGGGATCTACATCAATTAGACATTAAAAATGCGTTCTTACATGGTGATCTTCATGAAGAGGTCTATATGGAGCAACCACCTGGGTTCGTTGCTCAGGGGGAGCATGGGAAAGTATGTCGCCTTAAGAGGTCCTTGTATGGTTTGAAGCAAAGCCCTCGTGCATGGTTTGACCGGTTCAGTACTGTCGTACAGAAATTTGGCATGAGCCAAAGCAAGTGCGATCATTCTGTATTTTATCAAAGAACAGCGGCTGGCATGATTCTCTTAGTGGTATATGTAGATGACATTGTGATCACAGGCAGTAATGGTTCGGGCATCTCGTCCCTCAAGTCCTTTCTTAATTCCCACTTTCAGACGAAGGATCTGGGCTCTCTGACATACTTTCTAGGTATTGAAGTTATGAGAAGCAAGAAGGGCATATTACTGACACAGCGCAAATATGTTCTTGACCTCCTGAAGGAAACTGGAAAGTTGGGAGCAGCACCGACTAAGTTTCCTATGGTTCACAACCCACTCCTTGACGCTGATGGGAGCATACCACTCGATGATTCTCTTGATGATGAGAAACAGATGCTTGAGGCTCAGAAGAGCAAACCATTTGAGAATCCTGAGAGGTACAGGAGAATGATTGGCAAGTTAAACTATCTCACTGTAACTCGTCCGGATATTACTTATCCAGTCAGTGTACTAAGCCAGTTCAT